TATAGGTTAAAACTAATTGCAACGTAAGTTGCAACATTAAAAGTTGCAACATATTAATTACAGTTCCTATCTTTAGTCTTATAGCTAAATATAGCTTTAAAAATTTCTATGCAACAGTTATCCAACGGGCTTACAGAAATTATAAGAAGAGACCTAAATCTTTGGTGAAACAAGTTTGGGAGGCAGTAAGGAATGATGGTAATCCTGACAGATAGAATTATTTAAGCAATATTCCTTGTGGTAAAGCTTATTATTATATTAATGAAAAATTAATAAAATATAATGGAAAAGTTGATTGATTTCTTTCACAATATGGTCATATTATTTATATAGCTAGAACTTGAGTGGAAGAGAAAAAAATCAATTATTATACTGATTAGGTTGGGTGCTCTTTGATTGTACTAGAAAAACATTACAACAAAAAGGTTATATATCAAATTGGTATACTATGATAAAATGGGCACTGAATCCTGAATATTATCTTGATACTAAAAAGTCCAGTTAATATACTAGTAGTTAGAATGAAAATGTTAGCGTAACTCAATTTGCATATTAATATTCTGCCTAACAGTAATTGGTGATATAGAGATAAAGCATCTCAAGAGCATCTTCAATAAATGTTTCCTAATATCATATCTAGTATTATTTTATAAACATAGCAGGAGGAAACTATCTATAGATTTTTTAAAATATGATCGAAGTGATACATAAATAAAAAATAGTTCTATATAGGGAAATGTATGCATCTTACAAACAGCCAATACATGCTATGATATAATAGTTATACACTGCCAATCTGTACAAGTGCAACCATCTGCTTGTATGACAAATTAATTTTACATATAAATCAATTCTCCCAAAAAATATTTTGATTTTTTTCTCTTACAATGTTCTAGAAAAATAGCATATTATTTGCTCGCCTCCAGCTGAAAGATGAGCAATTTCTACTCTCCTTCAGTTATAGATTTGCAGGAGATTATTTATTCTAATAATAGCAATATCCAGATATTATATGAGAAAAAAGTAAACAGCTAAAAAAATCTTTATATGCGTTACCTAAAGATGGCTCCGCAACTTATAAGTTGCAGATTAAGTTTCAGATTTTAGGTTGCAACTATTATGAATTTTAAAAAAATAATTCCGTAATATCCGCAAATTCATAATTAATCTGCAAGTCTACAATTAATTTATTAATATAAAATTAATCTGCTATACTGTACATGTCACAATAATTATTAAATACATAAATATATATAATTTATAATTTTGACAAAGATATTAATTAAATTTTATTAGATTAAATAAAAATAAAAAAATATATTTATAAATATAAAGGTTCAGCCTACATAAAAAAGAATCATTAATACAGTACACGACAAAATTATCCAGAATTTTGTCAGCAGTACAAAAAAAGCTGTTGGAACATCAATTTTTGTCTAATCAAAATAAAAATTAAAATAGCAATTCTTTAACTATTTTTAGAAATAAAAATAAATACCACAAAATTTTCATGTGATTGTTTATCAATAAATATTCAATTATGATACCTATTTCAATTTTTGAAACAAGATGTTTAACTGTAAAGGAACTATGGGTAAAAATGTACGAAAACCTCTGAAATAATTAAAATAACTGGTTATTCAAGCTCTACAGTATATGATATTATTGACCAGTTGAAAAAAACTGGAAATATTGAGCACTTAACCTTATCCTGGTCATCCTCTTATTCTTACTCCCAATAAACGTTGATATCTTGGTCGTCTCCTTTAAGTTAATAATGTAACAACTCCAGCTTTAATGACAACAAACCCGAATAATATGTATCCAGACCTGAATATGTCAACTCAGACTGTTCAACGTACCCTTAAAAACAAACTTAATTATATAGTTTGTAAGCTACGAGCTATTTCTCTTCTTAAACCAAATTATATTAAAGCTCGTCTTCAATGGGCTTTAAGGCATAACCAAGATGATTGGTCTCATACAATTTTCTCTGATGAAAGTATGTTTCAAATATTTCGTAATACTTAACTAGTACGTTACAAAGCTGGTAGTACACATTCTTCACATTCTATGGTGAAACATCTGTATAAAGTGCATGTTTGGGATGCATTTTGTCATCAAGGACTAATTGGAGTTATTTTGTTTACAGGAAAGATGAATTCTGCGAAATATTATGAAATCCTTTAATTCTAATTACTTTCACATGCTCACAGTACCGGCTATGGGTGGTGCTTTCAGCAAGATAATACACTAACCCATACAGTAAGGCTTACCCGTCAATTTTTTGTGGAGAATAATATTCCAGTGATTGATTGGCCTGCAAACTTCCCTGATCTGAATCCAATCGAGAATTTATGGACCATTCTTAAAGGAAAAGTGGAGAAAAGGATTAATGATTGGATTTGGAAAAAAAAGAACTTAATGCAGAAGCTTTTCAAGGTATAATCCGGTAGGAATAGGATGGTATTGATTAAAATGTCTTCTTTAATTTAGTGGATAGTATGTCAGATCAAATTAGAGAAGTTATAGATAAAGAGGGGCATATAATTTAATTATTAAATTTTTTTAGCATGTTTATCTGTATATTATAATCTACTAATAGTGTAAATATGAAACTAATAAAATAAAATTTGCTATATTTTTATTTGACATGATAAATTCCAGATATTTATGTCGTGTACTGTAAATGTTTCTTGTAATTAGCAAAGAAATCATTACTTTATTTAATTATCTTCCAAGGAACTATTTCAAAAATTCAATCTACAAAATAAAAAAAACATTAATAAAATGTTCCTTTCAATTAGCAATGACTCCATCTTAATTCAGATATA